GGGTACAGACCGGAGATGAGCCGAGTATATAACAGAGCACAGGGTACAGACCGGAGATGAGCCGAGTATATAACAGAGCACAGGGTACAGACCGGAGATGAGCCGAGTATATAACAGAGCACAGGGTACAGACCGGAGATGAGCCGAGTATATAACAGAGCACAGGGTACAGACCGGAGATGAGCCGAGTATATAACAGAGCACAGGGTACAGACCGGAGATGAGCCGAGTATATAACAGAGCACAGGGTACAGACCGGAGATGAGCCGAGTATATAACAGAGCACAGGGTACAGACCGGAGATGAGCCGAGTATATAACAGAGCACAGGGTACAGACCGGAGATGAGCCGAGTATATAACAGAGCACAGGGTACAGACCGGAGATGAGCCGAGTATATAACAGAGCACAGGGTACAGACCGGAGATGAGCCGAGTATATAACAGAGCACAGGGTACAGACCGGAGATGAGCCGAGTATATAACAGAGCACAGGGTACAGACCGGAGATGAGCCGAGTATATAACAGAGCACAGGGTACAGACCGGAGATGAGCCGAGTATATAACAGAGCACAGGGTACAGACCGGAGATGAGCCGAGTATATAACAGAGCACAGGGTACAGACCGGAGATGAGCCGAGTATATAACAGAGCACAGGGTACAGACCGGAGATGAGCCGAGTATATAACAGAGCACAGGGTACAGACCGGAGATGAGCCGAGTATATAACAGAGCACAGGGTACAGACCGGAGATGAGCCGAGTATATAACAGAGCACAGGGTACAGACCGGAGATGAGCCGAGTATATAACAGAGCACAGGGTACAGACCGGAGATGAGCCGAGTATATAACAGAGCACAGGGTACAGACCGGAGATGAGCCGAGTATAACATAGAGCACAGGGGACAGACCGGAGATGAGCCAAATATATAACATAGAGCACAGGGTACAGAGTGGAGATGAGCCGAGTATATAACATAGAGCACAGGGTACAGACCGGAGATGAGCAGAGTATATAACATAGAGCACAGGGTACAGACCGGAGATGAGCCGAGTATATAACAGAGCACAGGGTACAGACCGGAGATGAGCCGAGTATATAACAGAGCACAGGGTACAGACCGGAGATGAGCAGAGTATATAACATAGAGCACAGGGTACAGACCGGAGATGAGCCGAGTATATAACAGAGCACAGGGTACAGACCGGAGATGAGCCGAGTATATAACAGAGCACAGGGTACAGACCGGAGATGAGCCGAGTATATAAAACATAGAGCACAGGGTACAGACCGGAGATGAGCCGAGTATATAACACGGCGCAAACAAATGTAAAATTAAAAAAAAAAAGAATGAATATCAGTTTTGTTGCCACAATAATAAAATGTAAAAAAATTAAAATACATTTAATAAAAAAGTAATATAAAATAAAATGATAAAATGCGAAATAAAATTTCTATCAAATAAAACAAATATGAATAAATATCAGTTTTGTTTGCACAATAATAACATTTGTCTCTTTGTAAATGAGTTTTGTTTTAAATTAAAAAAAAAGAATGAATTTGCACAATAATAATAATAAATAATAGGGACACCTGTTCTGACTTGTAACCGACTTTATTCTTTTGTAAAGTGCTTTAAAACAAAACATTTCCTGAACATTTAGTAAAACATAAGCGACACTTATAAAATAGATATTTAAACAGAGCAATATATATATCACTTGTACATAAGAGAACATTTCCCCCTCCGTCACCCGAGAGACCATTGTACCCAACAACGTGCGCACAAAACTGATCAACATAAAATTGCATTATAAAAAAAGAAAGAAAGGGGTCAGTCTACCCAAAAACAGATCTTCCAGTTCTGGGTGGGCCCCCGGTGGGCTGAACCTCCCATTGGCCTCATCACTTCTTTGGGTTTCTGTTGGCAGAATCTGCTCTGTAGTGTGAAATGAACACAAGTGGGCAGAAGCTGGGCGCTCCTGGGTGTCTAAAGTGTTCAACCCTCCAGGACGCCACAGAGAACTGAAATTGGGGACCGGATGGACTATCCTTTAGGCTGACGGTCAGACCTGTGTAAATAGTGTGATCGCACAGCTGAAGGGTCATTACATTCCAGCAACTGAGAGCGTCTCGGCACCCTCAAGAGAGCGCACTCCCCGCGCGGTCTACTTGCCGACTTCAGCAGATAATATACAGCCATATGAAGGAGTATTTGTTGACATGCGTCATTGAAATGCATAGAAGGAGCTAGGCGGTGGCCGTCCTCAGGCGTGTGCACACCCTACTGCAATTTGTACTAACATGCAAGTCATCAGGTAGACTGAAGGAACTGAGAACTATCAGAGGCTGCTAGTGCTGAGCTTGGCTAGTTCTCCGGCTGTTATGCTCACCCAATAATTGGGAGTCACCACCCCAGAAAAAAGATCCAGAGACCTAACTTCACTCTGACCTGCATGCCCGTTCCGTGTCTCCGGGTATTGAAGGCAGAGATGACCAACAAGCAGCTAGCATTTTCAAAAACAGGTCTGCTATGGAACCAATGACCATTTTTAAAAAAGGAGCCAACTACAAATATTAGGTTACCCTGTCATGAGGGATATATGGGGGGGGGCTGCTGTTGCCAACCTTCTGAACATTCAGGTTGCTTGGCCATTTTTGACCCCAATGTTGTAAAGCATTGATCGTGGACAAGTATGTTTTGATTCCCAATGATGTCTCTGCAGGCCTCTGGTGGGGGAAGGATCTCCACATTACATTTCATGGGCAGACACAGACCATGGTGGGGAAGGATCTCCACATCGCATTTCATGGGCAGACACAGACCATGGTGGGGAAGGATCTCCACATCGCATTTCATGGGCTGACACAGACCATGGTGGGGAAGGATCTCCACATCGCATTTCATGGGCAGAGACAGACCATGGTGGGGGAAGGATCTCCACATCACATTTCATGGGCTGACACAGACCATGGTGGGGGAAGGATCTCCACATCACATTTCATGGGCTGACACAGACCATGGTGGGGAAGGATCTCCACATTACATTTCATGGTCAGAGACAGACCATGGTGGGGATGGATCTCCACATTACATTTCATGGGCAGAGACAGACCATGGTGAGGATGGATCTCCACATTACATTTCATGGGCAGAGACAGACCATGGTGGGGAAGGAAGGATCTCCACATCACATTTCATGGGCAGAGACAGACCATGGTGGGGGAAGGATCTCCACATCGCATTTCATGGGCAGAGACAGACCATGGTGGGGGAAGGATCTCCACATCGCATTTCATGGGCAGACACAGACCATGCACTCCAGCCTGCAGCACCCCAAGGGCACCTTGCTGCTGCTTCGTGAAGACTACTAGGGGTGCTTGCACGAATGGTGCACGGAGTGATCAGCTGTGATCGGTCCTTTTCAATGGAAACTGAGGACCTGGTACAGTATAGATGGCACAGGCTGCATTTTTCAAGGAAGGACGTAGCATCAACCACAGCATTATAAAGGAGAGCCAGAAAGAGGGCTCCGGTTATAAAATGTTTTTGAAGTATTTCTGAATTCTTGAAGTCCAGCTTATGGAGCAACAATGTCAAAATTGGAGACATTTCATGGAATTGCCAGTAAAATACACAGCCCTTTAATAACCAGAGTATGTGTGACAGGCCAATGCGGGAAATATAGTTGGCACAGTCTTCAGTCAAGTTGCGCAATTGCAGTACTAAAGCTTGAAAAACCCCGTAATGGATTACCAACCAGGTAGATCAGCAAGCTTTGGATGGTGCAAGACACACAGTATGTCATCAAGATTGCACACCTATGTCAACATGGCAGTACTAGCATTGTGACAAAGCTTCCTGTCATGCTGCACTCTTAAAAACAACAACAGATGATAGAACATAGAACTCTTTGGAGAAAGTGAGCAACTCCATAACAGAAAAACTACGACAAACCCTAATAAGCGTCTATGAGTGTAAACGCATCACTCTGCACTGAGAGAGGCCAACTAAAGTAATGTACCATGAGGCGAGGCTTGTGACGGGTACTGCAGCAAAGAGAACAATGACGTGTGAGAGATCAGACTCTACCACATTGGGATGGAAGTGAACCTGGAAGCGGTTTTAACACAGCAAGCTAACCCTGCAGATGTAACAAAAGGTACCTGGGTGCCATGTCTGTCGCCTTATGGCGCTGCGGAAGCCTCCTGAGAAAAGAAAACTTAACAGACAAAGCATTGTACAATCGCAATGGGACTTCTGTATATGTACAGCACAGTAAGAAGAGACATTTCAGAAGATGGAAGCTGTCCTTTGGCCATATCGCAAATGCTTGTTGTCTCTCTATAACAATGACCCGTCTGGATTTTTTGCTTTGAGTCACTGGCCCCAAAGAAGAAAGCAGAGATGAACTTCTGACTTCACTCCTGTAATATGCACCCCATGCCTGCGATTCAACTGCAACAGCGCCCCGGGTCTTCCACTCGCCTGCTATACATGTCCTGGGTCTGTGGCTTGCCCGTAATAGCTTCCCGGGTCTTCCACTCGCCTGCTATACATGTCCTGGGTCTGTGGCTCATCCGTAATAGCTTCCCGGGTCTTCCACTCGCCTGAAATACATGTCCCTGGTCTACGCCTAAAGCACTGAAGCCAGTTAAAGTGACACTAAACTCAGGCGTTAAATCTTAAAAATACATTCAAGTATCTTAATTATTAACAACAATGTATCTCATTTGTGTATCACTCGGCTGTAGATCCTCAAATCATCTCTGAATTGGTGCCCACACTGTCCTTCCTTCTGGAGGGGGGCTACATTTGTTCCCCATGGTCTCTGTGTGTGTTGTAAAGTAGTCACAGCTCCAAGCTCACTCCCATGATGGACTACAATCTCTGGTTCAGATTACTTATTTGTATTGAGATTGTAGTCCATCACAGGAGTGAGCTTGGAGCGGTGACTACATTACAACACACACAGGGACCATGGGGAACAATAGTAGCCACCCTCCAGAAGGAAGGACAGTGTGGGCACCAATTCAGAGATGATGAGGATCTACAGCCAAGTGATAGACAGATAAGGTCCAGTGTTGTTAATAGTTAAGGTACCTGAATGTATTTTAGGATTCAACTCCTGAGTTTAGTGTCACTTTAATGAAGAGACAAGCCAACCAGCATTGGAAAAATATCAGCAATGGCCGCCTCCATGTTCTTCTAGGTGAGCACCTCTACATCTTGTATGACATGAACAAGGAGCTGGCTATTGAAATCCAAAGCACGGTGTCCCTGCACAGCGCAAGTAATGCTTTACTCCTTTAAAACAGCATGCAGGGCGCTAGCATAGCGATGGAATATTTGCATCAAACAGCATTGTTACATTTTACATTCGGTTTAAAGGAAAGCGGTCACAAACCCGGGCAATCCAACCTGAGGAGCTTACAATGAAAAAGTGCAATCATGGCAAACGAATGGTAGAGATATAATCAGCTGAAGTTATACGCACATCTCGACTTCTCCTGTAAAAAGTCAAGCTGGACTTCCCTCATTGGTCCAATACCAGTCTCTGCATTGGTCAATGAGACCACCTATCATTTTAAAGGCCAAGTTGACTTTTTGGTCAGTGCTTCCGGTTACACACATTTAGGATGTAACCTGAAACATGGTCCTATAGTTTTCAATGGAGTACAAATGCGGTGACTACCATTAATACCTCTCACCGTCCCTTAGCTAAAAGTCCGTACCTCAGTACGGTCAGGGACTAGGAGGAAGAGTCTGCAAGAGCATTGCACCACCAATTGAAGCTGCAATGCTGTGTGCATTGATTATTTTCGCAAAAGCTGGACTGCGCCCCTAGAGCACAAACAGGAGGGGTTCAGACTTTGGAGGGAGAAGGTCAAGTACTCAAATATGTGATGCCTAAATCTCTGGGCCTACTGATCATTTTGACCAGCAGTTTCCACCGATGGTAAGGCCTTGTGTGCGTTTTCTTCATTATACACTCAGCTTGTAACACTCAGGTTTGTGACAGCTTTGGGCCAGAACAATCCCCATCCGACAACACCCAAAAGAACCTCGAAGGGTGTAAAGAATCAAGACTGACCCGGTATTTACAATAGTCCCTTGGCCAGTAAGGTGGAGCTGAAGGGCCACTATAACTAAAATGGATGAACTGTCAGACCTTATGGACTGATCACCCTATTAAAGGTTGAGGCCTAGTGGCATGAGATGTGGGAGTAAGCTACCTGAACATTGTTAGGATGGGATCCAGTGGAGAGAGATGCGACATCCCGTATGAGGCTATGGAGGAGGATGAACAAAAGTTGAGGCTGTGGCCTTTTGACACTGGACAGATGACATCACAAGTGTACAGATACGGGTACACTTGAAACGTATGCCGCAACTAGACATTCAAATCATTTTTATGAACTGATATGCGTATGTGCAATAACATATCACCATTATATTAAAGTTCCTAAGAAATGGAAGC